GGGGGGCGGAGGTGGAGGTGTTTCTGAAGTACGAGATCCGTTCGAAGCGGCGCGAGGGGCGAAGGATTCCCCAGCGGCGCGGCGCCTCGGTTCCTGGGAAGGGCGCGGCGAACAAGGGCCTCTCGGATGAAGGCAACACCTCCGTGTTATCTCTCCCCTCAAAGGCGGAGGTTTATATCATAGCGGAGTCTCCTTCGAATGCCATGGACGGGGGGGACACTCAGAGGCGGATGTTGGGTTACGCTTTCGTCGAGGAGCGTCTGGACGTCATCGGCGGCTTTGGTCACTTCAGTCTTGTGTTTCGTTTTAGTGAGGAGGTGTGCAATGCCATCACCACATCTGGTCGGACGTGGCCTGTGGCCCTTAAACTCACCGGAGTGATCGGCGACACTAGGGAGCGAGCTGCGCGACAGCGTACCGCTGAAGCATCGACGTTGCTCCACCGATGGGTCTTTCCGGTGTTACTTTTAGCGGGATTAGTTGGTATGCTGTGGCTTTCAGCCCAGTTCATTGAGTGGAAGTATCAGACAACCCACGCTGCTGCCGCCAATAGCGGTGCTGAGCCCGAGTGCAGCGTAGGCGCGAAGAAGCGAAATTAGTGGGCGCGGTGTGAGGGGGTTCATAAATTGGCGTTAAATAGCAGCAGAAGGTGATTCAAATAATAACTCATATAGTCTCAGTGTTATTGACTGAGAAAGAAAGGGAGGCTGGATGTCGCTAGAGTGGTCTGCATGTGTCCGCGCTCTCATTCAATGCCTTGTTTATCTTCACCGTTCTTTTTTTTGTTTTTTTGCCCATCTGTCTTCGGATCGTTGATAACAAAGTCTTATTGAGGAAAATAATCAAGTTACCACTCACACCCCAAAGGCTAACAAATGATTGGCACACCAGTGGATCAGATGAAGATCGCTGAGATCAAGTCTGAGCTATCAACTTTATATGGAATCAAGGACTTCTCCGAGTGTTTAGAGGTTGATGACTTGCGGAAAAGGCTTTGTTCTGTGCGCGATAAGTCCCCCATCACGCATGGACTACAGTACGGACCCCTTCTTCGCGTTGGTAACACGGCGAACCCTACCGGACTGGTAACTCTCTTGCACGGCCTCGGTGATTCCGCGAACGGCTGGGAGGACGCCGCTCGCGAGCTCGCCAGCCGTCTGCCTAATCTCCTTTTTCTGCTTCCCACTGCCCCCTTGCGGCGGGTGACGATAAACGGCGGGATGCTCGGAACGGCGTGGTATGATATTCTTAGCGATATCGGCGTCGCCCACGCACCCCACCGACAGGATGCAGATGGTGTGCTCAAGTCGGCGGATTACCTGCGTAGCCTCGCCCATGTGTCGGCGAAGCAGTTTAAGATCCCTGCGCAGCGTGTTGTGTATGCTGGATTTTCACAGGGTGCGGCAATTTCGCTGGTTGCGGGGCTTATCGGGCACTTTGCGGCGGCGGGGGTAGTCTGCATGTCGGGGTACCTCCCCGCCTCGGAGGAGGTGCTGCCGCTGATTCGGAATCGCGAGGTGCCGATTGCCTTATTCCACGGCTTGGTGGATCCGATCGTCCCGTTCGATGCGGCCAGGAAAACGAAGGAAGTGCTGCAGTCCAAGGGAGGGGTAGTTTCTTCGATTGATTTATTTGAGTATAATATGCCACACTCAGTGCTTCCTGAGGAGCTTGATGAGGTTGAAAGGTTTATCGCACGTGTTCTATCGTAATTTTGTGTTTTATTAAAAAGTATTGATAACAACCTAAAGGAAAAATCTTTATATTTGCATATTTATGTTTGTGATAAAAATTACTTCAATTCCCTAGTTGATGGGGTTTGTTTCTTTCTATTTCTATTTTAATGTTGTAAGTTGTATCCAATACTCATTTCTTGTACCAAATCAACTAAGCGAAAAGCGATGGAAGCATGAATTGGGATCACTTCGATTTGTCTTCTCTTCACGTGTGATTTGACGCCTATACAACATTAACATCACAAAGGGGGGAAAACGCTGTACGGGGGAAGCATTTGTGCAGTTTTTATTAGCATTTCTCAAAAGTATCAAGCGCATTGCGTCTGCAGGAACGTTATGATGCGTGGAACGGCATGGATGTTGCGCGGACCTTTTGTTGCCACCCCGAAACGTTTCGGTGGTGGGGGTTACAAGTTCTTTGAGGATATGTACCCTAAGCATGCGCCAGGTCCGCGATTTGCTTATTACGAGGATCAAGAGAAGAGTTGCGTGGTGAGTAGTTTGGAACCCAAAAAGCAGCTCACGGAGTCCGAGAAACTCCATCATCTTAATAACTGGAAGAAGACGAATGAAGGATTAGAGCTTCCGCCGGAGTACGGCTGGCATGAGGACTGGGGGCCGGAGCCTGGGGAAGAAGGCCATAACAGTTACTACAAAAAGAATCGAATGTACATGTCGTACGAGGAAAAATCTAAGTATGATCTACGCCTTGGCGTACCACTCGAGAAGAACGCTATGCGGCAGCAAGAATTGCCCTACCAAAAACGATTGAAGGGAGCTTACCGCAATCTCGAGGAGCGTGGTGGAAAGCAGTATGTGAGCATGCGGCAGCGCAACTATTGGGCAAAATATAGCTATGAAGATCAGCGCGATACGATCGCCAAGGCTAAGGATGACTTCTTCAAAGAGTGGCTTGACAAACCCGACGTTACGCCGCAGAATGTGTGCAAAAAAATTAGCGAGTACAACGGTACGAACAAAAATCAGAACATCAAGTCCGTGCAGCGCCGCCCCGAATGGGAGTTGGCGCCAATTGTCGATGAGGATGACTAAAAAAAATGAAGGAAATGAAGGAAAGGCCTGGAATGGGACGACATGGGGTGGACAGGTAAAGAAAAACGCACCACAAAGGGGTTAGTATTTTTCGAAAGATGGATAGATATACATACCGGAGCAGCGTCTGTTGTTCAGTGCATCCTCGATACCAATAGCATATCTCAAGGCGGATAATCTGCTTCTCTAGGAATGACAAATTTTTCCATCTTTACCTTTTTTTTGTCCCCTTCTTCTCCCCTTTTCCTTGAATTGATTCCTCCCACTCCCCTGTGCGTTCTGGGTGTTTCTCGGGCTTGAGGATTGTTTTAGCTGTTGGCATCTGCTACGAGAGATCGGGAGGTGTGGAGTTTGGGTACGCAGCGCTTTACCCTACGACCGCGTTTGAAGGCGTAAAGGCGGAGGGTATACTTTGAAGCCATTTTGCATATTTCTAGGCGGGTGATGTGAAGATTGATTTTTATCCTGCTTTATAACCGTTGCTCCTATTTATCTTTGCATCACAAGTGCGTTGGATTTCGATAGGGAGAAATAGAACGTGCCAAAGTTCGCGAAATTTTGTGCCAAACCGTCTTTTTTCTTTTTATCTAGCAGCACTGAGGTATTAATGCAAACATTACAAATTGAGGCCCATGTCGCAAGACATCTACTTTTTTCCCCCTTCTTTCGCTTTGTAGCGATGCTGGCTTCCGCCGGTTGCGTGAGGGCTCATTTTCGTCAATCTCTAGCGTGCAAACTAGGCTTGAATCGAGGTAGCTCCTCTTTTTATTTCACCAGGTGCAATGTGTTTAGTCGGGATCCGAGCTCAATGAGGAAGCCGGATGCTTCAGCTCCATCGCACGCCGTCAACTCTCCTCGCCGGTCGCACACGATTGCGAATGTCAAGCAAAAGCCGATTTCTGCAGGCCCTCGAAAGCCCGCTATCCAGTTTGACGGCGAAAGTGTGTACAACTACCGCCAACACGCGTTATCCATGCTAAAGGAGAGCCTCGCGTTGATGGTGCTTCCTTGCGGGTGCTTTTTTGCCTATCTTGGTTCTTTCTTCCCCGCCCTCCCGGCGGTTCCGCTCGCGGTGAAGGTGCTTTATTTGTTCACACTGGGGATGCTCTCGAGGGTGGTCGCGAGGGGTCCGCGCAATTCCCTCCGGCGGGATCTCACCGGGCGGCATGTCGTGATAACCGGGGGTACGAGCGGGATCGGGCAGGCAACGGCCGCGCAATTAGCGCGAATGGGGGCGGATATCACCCTCATTTCACCACGTAATCCCGATGACGTGGAGCCGGCGTTGCGGTTTATTCGCGCGCATGGTCGTAGCCCCGCGGCGTCATCCTCGCCGGCTGACGCGCACGGGATGGGTGCGGGCTTTCGTCCGTCTCGTCAGCGGATCGAATTTCACTCACTCGATCTCGCGGATTTCGTCGCTGTGCGCGATTTCTGCCACCGACTTCGTCAGCAAAACCGGACGATCGATATTTTAATCAACAACGCAGCGATAATGCACCCCAAGGCCGCGACGACCCGTCTTGGGGTTGAAACGCAGCTCGCCGTCAACTACCTCGGGCCTTTTCTGCTTACCGAGGGGCTTCTTCCTCTTATCGAAGCGGTTCAAGGTCGTATCGTCTACGTTTCATGTTCTTCTCATATCAGCGTGAAGGAACGCACCTTTTCTACTTTCTTGAAAGGTCAGAAGGTGGGGCGGCAATCGGCGGGGGATCATTTCGATGGCCTCAAACAGTATGGCTTTACGAAGCTCGGCTGCATATATCACGCACAGGATTTAGCGGCGAGAGCCTGCCAGCGAGCGAGCAAATCGACCGCTGCGGGCGACCAGGTGCCTGCCAGAGCGAAATTCCGCGGTGTAGTTGCGGCGAGTGGTTATTTATACCCCCTTGGGAAGGTGTTTCGCTGCGATGGTGGTGGAGGGGATCGTGTACCGCGGTATACGACCTGCGCGTGCGCCCCTGGAGGCGCGATCACGAACCTTTATCGTTTTCACCCCATGTCGGTTCCTTTTCGACTTCTGTACTACCCTTTTTTGGCGTTCATGAGGACGGCGTGGGATGGGAGCCAAACGGTGGTGAACTGCGCCGTCCGGGAGGAGCTTCACAATGGTGGTTACTACGCGAGCACGCGTTACCATCCTAGCGGCCTTTCTGAGGCTGCCTGTAGCTCGTCGATGCGGGAACAAATGATGGCGTGGACGAGGAATACGATGCAATCGTACATGAATCGCAACTACGTCAAGGGGGAGTAGAAGGGGAACGAGGCATAGAAGTGATGAAGGAGGTTCTTAAAAAGTGAGCCATGGGGAGAGGGGGTTTCTCCCTTTTCACGGTTGAAAAAGAAAACAAGTGTTAAATTTTCTCTATTACCTACTTTGTGGGAAAAGCTCCTGTTACTTATTGACATTTCACTCTTTTTATTAACAAGGAAAAACGTGTTCATAAAGCGTGAGCAAAAAACAACATTGAAACATCGTTTACTCTCAAAAAAAAATATAATATTCACCTTAACAAACACACGCACACACACACAAGCGCAAAAAAATGGGTCTTACCACGGATCAAACACAGCGCATTAAGACTGCTTTCCTTAGCTATGCCCAAGAGCAGCCAAAGATAACTGAGACTATGATCGATCAGTTCATCTGCGGTGCCATTCCCAACCTCTCATGGGAGCAGCTTCAGGAAAAAAAAGCAAAGAGAAAAGGCTCTGCGGATGGCTATGATCGTGGCGAATTTTTCGCACTGGTGCAAACCAATCCTGCGTATATCGACTTTATTGTAAAAAATTTTCCGCCAGCGCCAATTGAGCCGAAAGAGTCTGAAATTGACGGGCTGGCCTTGAAAACTGAAAAAGGGTTCTAGTGAGATAATTCACTAGGAGGAGAATATGTACAGCTATATATATATTTTTTTTTTAGGAGGCATAGGCATGTAGAATTTTATTTCATTGTTTCTTATTGTTGATGGTTCTTGCTCATGGCTTTCAGTATGATTTTTCTTTGCTTTGTTTTCGAACCTTTTCATCTGGAGGCTATTGCATAATAGAGATTGAAGGGGTGTAGTCATGAAGTAGCTGTATTTATCAGAGGCTTCTTTTTACAACCTTCTAGCTTCAGCTGCGGAGCTTGTTCGAATAAAAAGGGAAGGTACTAATCTTCTATTATTGAAAAAATGTATGAGATATAAAGAGTCCGAATTTTGATTAGGAATAAAGGATGCCTGCTTCATCCGAATTAGAACAAGAAATCAAGGAAAAATGGAATTTTTGGCAAAAACTAAGGACATGAAGAGAAGTGGGGGAGTTTATATTCCCTCCCTGAGTATTGGTGATGGTCCTGAATTTGACGATTGTTTTTTTTGTTTAGCATATCCCTTTATTTTTATTTCCCATGTTTCGCGAATTCCTTTTGCAAAATACATCGTTCTTAAAGTGAATTACTTGGAAGAGAAGGTGAGAGGAAAATAAGAACCACACAAAAACCTTCAGAACCTTAAGGCTATATACGAAGCGACATAACAAATAAATAATGGATGAAGATTTAGCCGCTGAAATCGCCCGAATGGAGGCGGAGCTCGCGCGGGATGACCAATTGCGTGCTAAGCAGAAGGCTGCTCAAGGGGGAGTTTTCGGTGCGGCCGGGCAAAACCCTTTTACTCCGCCACAGCAACAGCAGCAACAACAGCAACAACAGCAGCACTTGCCTCCGCAAACGCATCCAATCATGGGATTTCCTGGTAGCAGTGCCGCTCTAACCTCGACAGATTCCACTTTGAACCCTTTTAGCGAGCCCTTTAATATACATCAGGCAACCCATATGCTCGCACAACAACATCATCAGCAGCAGCAACAACAGCAGCAACAGCAACAACAACAACAACAACAACAGCAGCAGCAGCAACAACAGCTGAATGCTACTCATATCTTCAGCAAGGATTCCGATGGCCGCTCCGTTTTTGTGGGCAATCTACCAAAAGGCGAGAACGGTGGTCCGACGACGACGCCGGAAGAGCTTGCACAGTTCTTCTCAGATTGTGGGCAAATATTAAACTGCACAATTCTTAAAGATCGGTTCACACAAGAATTGAAGGGAACCGCTTACATTGAGTTTGCATCATACTCTTCCATGGGGCAGGCTATCGACACTAAGAATAACACTCAGTTCAAGGGCAATACCATAATAGTATGTTTAGAAACGTTCCTCATCACGCATCACTTCGATGTGAGTTACGATTTTTTTTTAAATATTATTCCCTCCCACCAGCATAATGATGCCTTTTTTTTCCCCCTCCCTCCTTCCTCCCCCCTCCTTCCCCCCCCCTTTCCCCTTTCTCTTATAAATGGGAAGGATTAACAACAGAAAGGGAGGAAAGACCGACGACTTTGTTTGGTGAGCCACTTTGCTTCCCTCAAAAAAAAAAAAGGTAATACACACACAAAAAAGAAATACCAAAAAAAACACATTGAAGACTGACACAAAAATAAAAAACAGAATATCATGTTATTCATAAAAAAAAAAGATACACTTATATAGATGTTCACAAAAAAAAACAAAAGAATACCCAAGATTGCCTGAATACATATCTGCATACATGCGTGTACACATGGCGAAATCTAGTTTAATATCATTATTTAGGATGCGCTTTTTTTGCTCCCACACTTCCGTTTACCACGTTCATCTTCTGCTATGCACCTTTTCAACTTACCCCTGAGACAAGCTTCAGGTGTAATGTTGTTTCTTCTCCTTGTAACTGCGAGGAGTTTATGATGGACTTCTCTAGCGTGTGGGAGGCTTGACACAATCCGTTATGGCGGGTTCGCCGTGACACGAAACTTTGCGTCTCCCGTGTGTGCATGCTAGGTGAACTACTGGGGTGCTCCAATGCCGCATATCGAACGCTATACTTAATTGATAGTTTTAATTTTTATTCATTCGTAATGATGTCTCAAATGTTTTCAATCCTTTATCTATCCTGTTCATATTGTTTAATTATACGGCACATTAGGTACCAAGGTGGATGAATTCTTAGAAGTCGGTCTTTTCCTCTCATTCCTTTTTGTTTTCCTTCCCTCTCTCTCACCTTTTTTTATTCTATACTTTTATTCTCTATGACTACTACTACTACAAAAAATGTCTTCTTCATTCCCCTTTTTCTGATTCTTGTATAATTTCCATGAAGGTTACTCGAAAGCGCTCCAACTTCAAACCAGGCAGGGGCCACGGACGCGGCGGCTCCGGGCGAGGGAGGATGCCTGATCCCTATCAAGCGATAGCGGCGCTTATGGGAATGATGGCGGGAGGCGCCGCCGCCTCATCAGGAAGAGGTTCTTTTCATCGCGGAGGACATGGAAGAGGCCGTGGAGGTGGTGGAGGTGGTGGAGGTGGTGGAGGCTTTCAACCATTTTAGATATATATATATATATATATATATATTTAGATTGATAATGCATTAAGTGAAAGACAAGTATTCAAAAAGGAGAAAAATTGTACCCATCACGCAATGGAGAACTCATTCCAAGGTATATCTTGACTTATGATAACGTCTGGGTATCATGTCATCATTGTCTTCATAGGTGCTTTGGTTTGGAATAGTGAGGCTTAAGAAAGAACTCGTAAGGTCGGTAAAGCAGTATGCATATTCACGTATCAGTTGTTTCTATTTCAGTAAAAAAGCAGAAAATTAATTCAGAGGAAGCACATATATAGATATATGTTTATATTCATATGCATTGAAGAGGTTTGTTGTTATCTAAATTGTACCCAATATGTTGAATAAAAAAAGAGAAGTTATAGGAATGTATGGGTGGTGTCAAGATTTCTACCTCTTGTTGAGTCACATTTGTATTTCTTCATTATCTTTTCCCCCTCTTCCTTCTTGTAATGTTTTCAATGTACCTCCACCCTAAAGCGAGAATAGTGATAACGGCGGAGAAGGCGAAACATAGTCAAAAACAAAACTATACGCTTACAAGCTTGGCGTATAGGGAAGTTTACACAGTCGTATATTCATTTATTTTTTTGTGTGTTTGTGTGTCAGTAGTGCGTATCTCTTATCATCTTTCTCAAAGCTTTTTACCAAAAGAATAAAATAACGTATATTACAGTTTCTTTTTAAGAATCATCCGAGGCAATTAGGGAGTGGGTGTGTGTTCTTATGAACCTCAGCAGCAAATGGCAGTGGTGTATCCAACCCCTTCCCTATGCTCTGAGAGTGTGTGGCTCGCTTCTTTCGTCTGAGGTGCAAGGGGTTTTGCAGGTCATCTACTCCTGCGTTCAGGTTATCCTGTCCTCTATGGGGTTTCAAAATACCCCGAATCTCTGTCTATTCAACGGCGATGCAGTGGCGGATATGGCGAAAGGCGGGGATGTTTGGGGCTCCACCCCAACCCTTCTCCATCGCAGCTCTATGCTTGGCGACGAGGAGGAGGATGACAAGATGACGAGAGGCATGGAGGAATCCGAGATGGAACGCGAGGAGAGGGGGATGTACGAGGCGAGCCTTACTTCGCATCGTTCGATCACTTCCTCGCAGTGTACTCCGCGAAGGGGTCCTAGTATGGAAACGATGCGAGTGCGGCGGGTGGAGCGAGAACTGATCGTGCAGCTGTTGAGCGCGCTGAATACTTTTGTCCGAATTACCCACGTAGGGGCGGTGGATGTGCAGCTTCTCGGGTTGCTAATGAACCGCGCGAACGCGCTGCTGGACTACGGCGAGCAGAAACAAGAGGACGAGGAGGCAGAAGGGGAAGGGGGGGTGGCGCGGAGCGGCAGGGAGAGGGAAAGTGATAGAGATGTATTCGCTGAGTTTGATGCGCTGGCGAGGTCGGAGGTGGCGTCGACCGCCACGCCGCGGACGATCGCGCGGGTGACATACGAGGAGGCGGTGAAGTTGACGTGTTTGGTGAGTGAGGCCCTCGCGTGGGAGTCGTATCTTCTGCACGTGAAGGACGCCCTGGTGCTCTTCGGGCAGACCCCTACCACCACGGCGTCATCGCTCCGATGCGTTCGAGGCCTTCAAACAAGCGTTCAGCCGCTCCGCGTCGCGTTGATGCTGCCCAAGTGCGTGGAGTACGACCTTCTTTGGTGCGCCTGCGCCCGCTCTGGCGCCCTGCACACCTTCCTGCAAGAGCTCTACGACGGGCAGAGCTTTAAGAGCGTTCCGACTCCAGCCTTCTCCACGACGTTGCCGGCGTACTCCGCACTTCGCGGGGGAAACACCACCAGCGCGTACTACTATTGTAGTGCTGCCCTCATCGACACGGAGCTTTCCACCAACGCGATGCTGTGCGAAGCGATTGAAGCCGCCGGGAGCTTTATGATCGTGCTGGATGCGCGGTATTTACCCCTTTTGTTTAAGTTTGTGCCAGAAGAGGAATCGCTTTGCCTTTCCCCGCGTGTTCTTGATTCGACCTCAGTTGGGGGCTTCAATTCCCTCATCAAGGGAGGGACCTCAGCAGATGGAGATGAAGGAGAAGGAAGTCGAGGGCACGCCGGGAGGAAAGAACACCATAAGGGGAAATTTATCCTGAACGTCCCGACGGTGCTACGTCGCATCTTTCTCTGGCGTTGGGATGGACGCTATACCAAGGACTTCACGAAGGAAATGAAAGAAGCCATAGACAGTTTTAACAGTGCCGCTTACGCGGACCTGCCATTCGCTCTGAGGTTCTATGGCGCGCAGGGAAATGGCTCCGCCTTGGCTTCTTGCACTGGCTATGATACCACCGACAAGGGGGGCGAAAAAACGACGCCGTCGGCCACTGATCGCGCAGATCTGAGGCTGGATCTTCAATGTCGCGCGGTGGTGCAATCTCGCCCGCAGTTTTACTGGGATACCGCGCCTTCGCTGGATTTGTACGACCTCGTGCAGAGCTTTTTTATGGGTTCTCCCGATACCCCAGACCGGGGCGACGCCGGCAGACGCCAGGAGCTGGAAAATCTTCGTGGTGGCTATCCGTTGCTGCTGCAGCGCATTTTAGCGCATCCACCGCGTTGGCTGCGCTGCAATCCCGTTGGTTGGTCGCTGCAGGCAACCCCACGAGCGGATTCCTCGCGACCAAACGCCCTAAACGAGCGCGCCCCCTCACTGAGCATCAGCCCCGTCGCGGTGAACGGGAACACCCCTCGGGATTACCTCCCTTCCTCGCAGTCGTGCACTATTTCGCAACTCTTCTTCAGCCGGCTCTACGTCCGCGCGATCGCGGAGTCGATATCGGATCAGAAACGCCCTCGACGCTCATGGCAGGCGGATAGCGAAACCACCCCGCGCGGGGTGGGTTCCCGCACGCAGTTATCATCCTCCGCCGTGAGCGTGGAGGAGACCCCTCGCAGACGTTTTGCGCGCGACCCTACGAAGGCCGTCCATTCGCTTCTCCAGCTGGAATCCCAGCTCGCGTTTCAGCAGAAAATGTTCTACAAACGCCTGTACATGGCACTTCTGCGCTTTAACCTCACCCAACCTTTGCTTTGTCTTTTCACCTCCGGCAAGCCCTCCGAGTTTGAGTGCATCACGCACCTGAGTTTCTTTGGGATGGCGTCGCTTTCGCGATTTTTATGCCAGCCAACGGTAAGAAAAGCGTCGTTGCGCTCCTCACGAGAGGAGTTGTTGTTCACGAACGCGAACATGGCGACGGCGGAGGTAATTCATCTCCTTCGCCAATTGCGGATTAAGCACAACAACACGCTGGCGATTTTCGATGCGATATTATGGAGCTGTGTGGTGTGTCTTTTGGGCATTGTTCGGCGTGTTCTTGGTCTCTTCCAGGTTCGGCTTTGCTCACCGTTCTGCCTGGATGCGAATAAGGAGATGGATCGAATCGTCGTCTACAATAGTCTGCTTATGTATCAATTCGACAGCTGCGTGTTTTGTCTCGGATATCTCATGAATGTATTGGAGGAACAGCAGAAACGATGGAGGGATTTGCAAGGCCAGCGGATTCACCCTTCGAAGGGTTCACGTAGATCGAGCTGCCTGTCAACTATCAAAATGGTCTTGCTTTCATCGAGAAGGATCCAAACCCACAATCTCTCGGAGAGCCTCCAGAGGAACGAATATCTTGAGTAGGCGTCGTATTCTTTGGCCGGGGCTTGCCCATGCACACCATTATTTTCCTCGATATGCAATGGAAGTTGATCCTCACCTCACCAGAGATCTCTCCACGCATAACGTACGGGTTTGGGTAGGCTGTGAAGAGGAAAAAAAGAAAAGCACTATATTAATAAGAAATGTACATTTTTGAAAAAATTTTTTTACGGTATCGGTAGTTTATTGTTGGTATTTCAACGATCCGCTCACAACCATGTCTACTAACAAATTTCTAGGTGGCACAAGGACGCAAACCTTAGTTCAGGACACTGAATCAAGGAACAGAGATGCTATGCGCTCTCAGAAATTCCATTTATATTTCATTATATATATATATATAACTGCCTAGCTGCATGTGCTAGATCAGCACATGTTTTTTACTCCTGAGAGTTCTTTCTGCTTAACTTCTCTTCATTTTCATGTTATCCCGTCTCACATTTTTATCCTTTGAAAAGGGGAGGAAGGAGGAGGGAGTGTGCTTTTTTGAGTGAGAAAGTATTAGTATTATTTATATTCTTATTATTTGATTCGTGCCATGTGATCGTTATTTGCAGTTTATACATATTGAATCTTTGACGATTTAACATTTTCAGGCACTCATAATGGTATATATTATTTTTATTTTATTAGTTGACTTCGTTATTCGTTTGCATGTTTTGTATTACCTTCACCTTGGCTAAAGTTGCCACCACCCTCATGTATAGGTGCGTATCTCCTTCGCTTCGATTTGTTTTTTCTCTTTTTTCATCTTTTCCGCTCTTTTGGTGTCTTCTTTTCCTTAGTTCTGCTTACATATATAATTTACGCATACTTAATATACACCATCTTTTTGCGAGCAAATTGCAAATACCATGACCATTCTGGGACTAAAAAATAACAACCAACAGATTGCCGCGAAGGTTGGCAAACCTATTTTCATCAATCTTGAATCCAACCCCACTACTGGCTACAATTGGTATCGTGCTGGGTATGAGAAGTTGGAAAGTCAAAGCGATGAAATTTTGAGTATTAAGAAGGTCTACCGCAACAGCGAAACTAATCTGGTGGGAGCGCCAGGAGTTGCTGAGTTCACAGTTACGCCCAATAAACCTGGATCCCACGCACTGCATTTGGTTTATCGCCGCGTGTTTGAACCTCCAAGCGAAAATAACAAAAGGTTTACTATAAACCTGAATGTTGAATGAGATGGTATATACATGTGAACTGCGTGGGGGTATCGCTATATGATAACTAATATATATATATATTTATGCATATCTTGATACATATGATTATCTGTGTATAGCGATTTTCAAATACACTCTACACTTAAAGAGTAGAATATTAAATCAAGAAAATCTATATTCTTTCTTATTTCAAGGGGAAAATCTTACTCTATGCTTGAATTTATATGCAACAGCTAAAAAAGAAAAAATATGTGAGGGTCACTCTGAGAAGTTTATCATATTTATGTATCTATCAATTGAAAAGTGTTGCGGCATAAAAGTGATTTGTGACAATTTGATATTTTAAAAAATTACTTCAAATATAAGGGTAAGGTTTTTATTTTATGGTCGAAGCACAAAGTTATTTTTAGACTATTTTGGTTGTAGTTCTTTCAAGGATGGAATGAGCAATTTTTTATTTTATAAAATATCATTGTCAAAGGAATATGTTAAGTGGATTCTCTTTACTTACAATTTTTTATTTTTTATTGTATGTTTCTTGTTAATTCTACGAGTCGTCATGAAGCTCTAAATATATATTTTTCCTAATCACCCTTATTGTTCCAGCGGTTTATCAAGTGAATTAGGGGAAAATTTGTTTTAGACTCATCAAGGAAAGAAAAAAATGCCACTTTTTTTTGATGATTTAGTAGTTCTAGGATTTCACGACGTGAAGGACGCCCCAGGGATTCATTCTGAGTTTAAAAAACACGGCGTCGATGCTGCCGTCGTAGATCATGCCTACATTGTCTCGCATCTTCATCTCGCGGTCTCCTTTTACCGCTTTAAGAGCGAGGGTGCGCACGACACAGGTATATCCATTTCCAGCGCCCATACAGAGTCTGCCTCCAACGTCACAGCAAAGAAGTATATCTCGGACAGCAAAAGAGGTCGCCCATCTACTGCACGAGATATCTTTGCGGCCCTTTCTCCTTCACACAACCTTGATCGTATTCTTCAAGTACTTCCAGCGGGCTCAAAGACAGACGCTGTGTTGGTTATACTTCAAAAAGACACGTACGAATCCCAAAAGCAACATATTCTCGACTGTATTATCCGCAAAAGCTCTCAGCCGGACGGCACCGAGAAAGCCAAGGCACATTTGTTGGCGCACAGACGTTCTGGTCTGTTCCCCTTTCTTGAGTACGTGGATACGGAGAAAGTAATGAAGTTCTATGGTATCACAGAAAGAGATAAGTACGCTATGGCACAAAGCTTCACTTTAAATGAATCACATGCACTCGCGCAGGAGGTGTTAAGTACTGATATTGCAGTTACATTAGCCGCTTTTCATGCGAAGCAGAATATGTGTAAATGCCCCGGCGACCGAACTGCCTGTGCGAAGAGTGCGATTTCCATGATGGTTGGTGCGAAGGCGCTGGAGCAATGCGTAGTGAATAAGCTGTCTTTGTGTGACATTTAGCACAAGGGTGCGTGAGGAAAACCGCAACAGCCAGGAACGAATGTCAGAAAGGAGCAATACGTAAAACGGAAGCAGTGATAGAGATGTGCAGAATGCGAGAGGTCCTTTATGTTAAAATTTCTTCAACAACACGTAGTGCCTTTTCGCTTGTATGTGTTAATGGAAGGGTGCCGTTTTTGGCATAATCATCCATGCTCTTTTTTTGCTGTGAGTCCTTGTTCACAGGTAGCAACTTATTAGACGCCTTCAGGAAACGTTGATGTGTTTAATTTATCAAATACGTATCACACGATAAAAGGTAGAGACAATTTGTTCAATCACTTTTTAATCGTTTTTTTGTGTAATTTTCAAGCTAGGGAATTTTGATGGCGTCCACAGCATTCACAATCAGGATTCCCTCCCGTGCGCTCATTAGACTGCGCGGGACGGATGCACATGAGTTATTACAAGGCCTCTTTACGAATGATTTGCGTGAACTGCGGCCTGGGGGCAGCCTATGGGGCTGCTTTCTTTTCTTTACCGGACGGGTTATGTGCGACGCCTACCTCTACCAGAGCAAAAAAGTCTACAAAGGGCAGTCTGCCATCCTTGTCGATATTCACCGGAGCTGCCTCGAGCATCTCATGGAGCACCTTTTCGAAATGAAGATGCGTAAGAAGGTGCAGATCGATGACGTCTCCAACGAGTTAGCCGTTCTCGCCTCGTATGAACCAAGTAATGCGCAACCAGTAGACCTCGACACTGTGCGGCAATCCGAGGAAACTAGCCACCTATCGGACCGGAACGATGCGGATCAATCCGATGGGAACCGCGTGGGTAGCGGGAAAGATTCTTCGACGCTCCTCGAGGCTCATGCAGAGCATTTTGAGGATCCCCGTAATTTTGCTTTATCGTATAGTCGTGCATGCGGTGAGGGCCCCTTGGAGACTCATACTTCCTCAGCTCCCTTGCTAACTAAAACCATCATGTCGCGATCCTGGGCGCCGAGTACAACTCTTTGTGAGGATGTCTACCAACAGCTGCTTCTTTCCAACGGCATCGGTGAGGGCCCTGAGGTGTTCAAGTACAACAAAACACTTCCATTCGAATCAAACGTGGATTTCCTCAAGGGTGTCTCCTTCCATAAGGGCTGTTATGTTGGGCAGGAGCTTACACACCGGACCCACGTCATGCTGGTGACGCGCAAGCGTAATGTACCTTTGGTGTTTCCTACCGTAAAAAGTTTAGCGAACCCGTCATCGTTGTCATTAACTGGGGAAATATCTCCGTCTATTGCGATCGGTGAAGGGCTTTATGTTTCTGGAAAGGAAAAGGTAGGCGAGATAACCACCATAAGTGGATGCTACGGCCTGGGTCTAATCCGGATGAAATACGTCGATAAAGAGACCAAGACTATTCCTGGGTTGTCGCTAAGGGACGGGACACCCGTCGAGATGTTTATTCCGTCGTGGTGGCCTCGAAAGGAGGTGAATAAAATGCTTAAAGGCAACTAAATCTCACTGATAACCAACGAAAGGTACAAAAACGGAGATTTTTTTCTTGGGAAAGTTCATGTATGGGTAAAGAGCTGAATATCGCTTGACTCGTATAGGGTTTGGACACCACTGAGGTTGAATCATTATTGGAAGTACACGTACACACAAAGAGGTTCCGAAAGTTCATATCTCACAAAGTCTTGTTGCTCATTTTGAAATTTGATTGCGAACTTTTGACTTCGTTCCGCTGATACTCTTATTTATCAGTCCTTTTTCCCTTTGCTTTCAGTAGTTACGGCGGTAGTTGAGACAATAAAAAAACGTGATACAAAATCAAAAGAAACAGAAACTTTTTTTTCCATCCCTTTTTACAGGGTTCAAAATATGGGCGCTAAAGAATCCCACATACAAAAAAGTGACTCTTGGAAATCAACTTTAAAAGAGAAGAATTCCGTGAAAAAAGGACAGCGCAATCTTTCTACACAATCGTCCAGTAGCAAAGAGTTCAATTCAGGTGTGTCAAACCCACTTGTACGACCCCCATCTAGCTCCATACGTTGTAGAGAAACCCTGGAAAAGCAAAGTGAGGAGCCTAACAAAAATGCAGAAAGCTTGATATCTGTAGCTGATCAAAATGATAGTTTTTGCGCTGGTAGCTTTTCCACTGCAAACATCAATAACGCTTCCCGAGCGACTACAGAAGCAAAATATTCAATCATCGAAATGGAGAAGAGACTTCACGAAGGCGCCCCACTGGTTTGCCGAAACGAGACCGAACCACCAAAGCCCATGAATGTGGGGAATATTAGTCCTGAAGAGAATAAAACCACTTCCGAGGTGGTGATTCACCCTCGAGATGTAGGAAATGAGGATCAAGCAAGTGGAGATGAGAAACACCCAGAATGCGATATTTTAGAGGTCGAGACGCCGTCCGACGTTGAGAGTTGGTCTAGCATTAGTGATAATGTTGTATCACCGGAGGCTGGAGGGAATATCGGGGCTCCCGCTCACCCATTGAATAAAGTTCCAGAGCCCCGTCTTCCATCGCTTCGTGCTGGATCAGACAGTAACGACAACGTACTCCCACAAAATAATGATATCACAGACGATGATGATGACGTGTTGACTCAAGATGGGTGTCATATAAGTGGTAGACAAAATTCGAATAAACTAATTCATACCACGAACACCACTATCAGCAATGCCAATAGCATTGACAGCAACAGCGTGCACGGCTTAGCGAGATTCCCAAGCCAAAACATTCAATGCTATTTATGTGGCGCGCCAGCGGAGGTGTTCTGTTGCCAACAGCACGATGGCGCGAACCTCCGTAAGGAATGCGCTGCTGACAGCATCATTGTGAAGAAGCGCTCAGGTTCGAACCATGGGATGATGTGTCTTTCAGAGCCCCATACGAATAACAACCGTTGGAACAGTGAGAGTTCCGTCTCGACGATAATCACCGAGGCGGCGAGCAGTCTTTTGTACGACCCATGCTCCGTGTGCAACCGCGCCATTGATGATGTGGAACATGTGCACCGCTGTGTGGAGTGCGATTTTATTGTGTGCCCCGACTGCTACGATGCGGAGAAAGTCATCCATGAGCACGAATTGCGTTCCTTCCGTCGCACGTCGAAGTCGAGCATCCAAGATCTCACGCCCTTGTCGAACTGGTCGCGCAAGTCGGGTGGGAATCGCATCATCAATAACTACGTGATTATCCGTCAGCTTGGGCAAGGAAGTTACGCGAAGGTGAAGCTCGTTCAAAATGTCCATACGGGGGAGCTCTTCGCCCTAAAGATTCTTCGGCGCCCCAAGCAAATCAACCTACTCAATCGTGTTAAACCGCATTCTAGCGACGACGACCTGCTGCGCGAGGTTGCCGTGATGAAGTACATTGAGCACCCCAACATCGTGAAGCTGATCGAGGTCATCGAGGACGTCGAGGGTGGGGGGCGGCTTTACCTCATCATGGAGTACTGCCAGCGGGGGCCGGCCCACCAACTCGGCAACCCGCCGCTTCCTCTCGAGACGGTGCGTCAGTTCGGCCGCGGCATCCTCTCCGGCCTCGTCTACCTCCACTCCGAGTTTCTTTACCACCGTGATATCAAGCCAGCGAACTGCCTCGTTACGAGCGCCGGCGTCGTGAAGCTGGCGGACTTCGGGACGTGCAACAGCCGGCGGCACTCGACCGGGATGGATGGCACGCCCGCCTTTAACTCCCCTGAGATCATCCAAGGCGAGGACGCCTCTGGCGAGATTGCGGATAGTTGGGCCTTCGCGCTGACGCTCTACCAAATGGCCTCGGGCACGCTGCCGTGCGAGGGGATGTCCGCGATGGGGTACCGTGGGTTTATTCGATCTAAAGAACCTATCAATATTCCCTTACCTAGCGAGCATAACTCCATCGACCCACCGCTGCACGATCTCCTTTCCAAGATGTTGAACAAAGACGTCAAACAGCGCATGATGATCGCAAAGGCCATTTATCACCCATTTTTCCAATTAACCGACGAGGAGATTAACTCTATGCACCAGAAGCGCTCCTTCGACATGCCCAACACCGACAGTAGTTGTGGTCCATCGGAGAGCCAACCTCAGCAAACACTATGCTCCTCTGCCCATGGTTCAAGTAGGGTAAGTCGCCTGTACGATAGGGCTCTGAAGTCCGTGAAGTGTGGTAGAAATCTTCCCGAGGCCTTTCACGGTATCAAGGATATACACCTGATCCATCGAAAGGACCTGCAGGCTGCAGAGGGAATAGGTAGTAGTGGTATCCCTGATGGGTCCATTATTAATAGTCGGCTTAGTACCAGCAGCTTATGCAAACCGGACACCACGGACCAGCAGGCTGAGTCTTCGCAGTCTATCGATTTACAACTTATTCTAGATCGTATTGAAAGACAAAAGAGGCAAAACTCGCAGGTACTGGACCTTAGCAATATCCAAATGGGGTCACCGCCCGCCCTTGTCAACGATGTGGCGCCCTTCACGACGAGAATGCGGTTCGTGTCGAACCACCTCAGAAGCCTCACGAGGATCAACTTTGCAGAATTCAGCCAGCTTAAAGAGATCTCCGTCATATGCAACGCCCTACAGCGCTTTCCGGAAGAGGTGTTGGCGGCGCCACACCTCGTCCGACTCGATTTATCACACAATGGGATTACGGAGATCCCTCCCTTAGCGAGCGCCGCGTCTCTTGAGCAGTTGAATTTACATGGCAACAATATCAGCGCCATCGGCTTAGACTACAAGACGGGGCAATCCGTGCTCGCCGCGCCTAGCTTAAGACTGGTTCGGCTAAGCTCAAACCCGATCCTCTCCTTGCCAATGGGGCTGGGGACGTTGAGGCAGCTTAGCCTCGTGCTGGACGCCCACCCAGACCTCTGCGCGCAGTGGGCGAGAATCGTAGAGGAGCGGAGCCGAAGTCATGCGCAGCCAAACCTGCTGTTTATCGTGTGGGATGACTATTTCCCCGCACGTGTCGCCGGCACCGATTTGCCAATTTGGATCGCCAGCAGCAACCTCCAGTTGTATCGTCTTCAGACTTTGCAGATCTGTGAGTGTAGGCACGTCGTGATGTTTAGGAGCGCAAGTCCGTGGTTTCCTATCGGTCGTGTTACCGGTGAAAAGCTTGGCAAACACTTTAGAGAGATTGAGTCTTTTCAGCTTAACGCTCGTAGAAGGGGCAGGGCGGTTGGTGATGGCTTCTTGGGCACGGAGGCGGCCTCCATGGCACCACCAATGACATCACTACCTTCCATTGTGCGTTTTGGTGCACTGCGCTACGTGAAGGAGTACTTTTTTATATCTGACAACGAGGAAGATCCTGTTGGCGGATACTGTAGCTTGTTTAATTTCATTAGCGACACTTTGCGGGACCGTGAACCCATTATGTTTTTTATGATGTGCTCCCACACAAACCTGCAGCACACTCGCGAGATTGCGGTAGCGGCACTTAGTGAATATTTGATGACCTTGCTGGAACATGGTACCCTGAAGGAGCAGTTCGACGCGGTGATGGCATCCATGAGAAATTTTTCTTGATGCTTTTAAATCCGCCCGTTTGAAAATGCACAAGTAGTGGATCCATAAGCAAGAGGAGGCAAATGCGAGGAGACACAAAGAGAAGGAAGCAAGGGAGATAATCTGCAGTTGGTGTCAGTATTGATGCCAAGATAAATTATTCTATAACATGATCAATAGTTTGTACTTCGTTTTTATTGCTGCTAGTGTTTAGTAGAAGTATCTTGTCTAATATATAAATTATCTCTTTACCTCGGGGTTTAATTGAGGCTTATGGTTTTCAGATTATTTAGTAAGTTTACAAGCAGACCGTTTAGCCATTTTCACCCCTTATATAATGATGTGCAGTGGCCATGCGCATTATTTTGCATTACGCTTCTTGGACATACTCGATTATAGTTGGGGGAAAAAATTGGCTTCCATTTTTCATAAAAATTCCATTTTTCCGATTTAACATGTGCTGGAGGATTTATAGCGACACTTAAGTAATAATACTACTAATGTAGCGCGGCATCGTCAGAGTAAGAGTGTTTCCTTCTATACTTATCGAAATGCAGGGAAAGGGGTAAGGCTGCGTCTTTAATATTCTATAGTACGCGGTAATAAGCAACAAACATGTGGATGACGGTATTGTTCATGTTGATAAATTTCAAAAATATTGTTGTATCTATACAATTTTCTTTCATGCTGACAAATATTGTATTCTCGATATTTTTATCTATCATGTCTTGTTTGTATATATATATATATATATATATATATATATATATATTGT